GTCCGGGGGGATGGCGGCGATCGCGCCGCAGATGTGCGTGGCGGCATGGCTGCGGTCCCGGGCGCCGCTGCGGCAGGTGGGCGGGCGGTGGATCGCGGGAGAGAGGGCTGGCGCCTGCTGCCCCTTGTGAGGGGCTCATACGTACCGACACAGGCGTCCAGGGCACACGTGCGAGCCTTGTGCGATTCGCACCTATCTGAAAACCCCACACCAAACGTCTGCCGTCAGGCAACCCCACTTCACATGCCCACCCTGAGCTTACACTGCACCGACTTTTCCGATACAGGTCATCGTCGCAGGCGCGGCCGGCAGCCCCGCGACCGCCGCCCTCCTGGCAGCCGCCCACGCGGCGTGGCCCAAAGATCGAGCCCTCATCCTGATCGACCCCGACAGTCAGAGTGACGTCACTTTCTGGGCCGCCCGCAACCCCCGCGCGCTCGCCATGGTGACGGCGCACGCGGAGAAGCAGCGGCAGCTGCAGCCCCAGGCGGCGGCAGCTGCCATGGCCCCCACCGCATTTGTGTGCCAGGACTACGCATGCAAGGCGCCCACAACAGATCCATTGAAGCTGCTGTCGCTCCTAAGGGAGGCGGGGGCACCTGTTGCCAAGGCGGGGCCGGGGGCGGCGGCGAAGCTTTCAGAGATGGCGTGGCCGCCGCCGCCCGCCGCCAAGCCGGGCGGCGGCACCGGGGGCGGGCAGTAGACTTGCATGGCCTCTGCAGCGTTGGTTAGTTTTGATGACATTCGGGCTTGAAACCTGCGCAGCATTTACATTTGTTGGTCAACACCTATGCTTTGTTGTGTGCAAGCGTCACTTGGGGTGCCGCACTGTGTGCGCGCCCCACGAGTGAATTGGCCGCTGTTTTTTAGTGTTTGTTGCTGCACTCTGTGGGGGCGGTCCGCATTCCTTTTTGAAGCCCCCGCCTTGCGCACGCCCGCACAGCAGGCCCCGCTGTGCGTGGATGCGGCGTGGCACAACGCCAGGCACAGGGAGAGGCAGGGGGCCTGAGCAGCCGCTTTTGCTGCATCAGCTTGCGTCCCAATGGCCCCGCTGCCATCCCAGCAATTTGCAGAGCTGGTATTGTGATACGTGCACCAGGCCCTTTGGAAGGTCAAAAATCAACAATGTGAGTCAAACGACTGCACGATTTACAACAGCATCGCGTAGTCAGGCACCTACGGTCGGGAAAAAAAGATCCTGGCAGGCACTTCCCTATGCAAATCAAAGCAGAAGGGGGTGAGGGGACGGCTGAGGCACAAAGGCCCCAAAAGTCTTGTCAGTCTGTGGCTGCGCAGTTGGAACGGCGCGAGGAATACTGGCGATGCCGCAAAATCTTTGACCAAAGTGGGGCGATGCGGAGGGCGGAGGCGCTGCGTCGAGGCACACTCAGTGACGCAGGCGAGGGGTGGGGTGGGGGGTGGGGGTCACAAACCCCCACTTGTCCTGGCAAGGTGTTGAGCGCCGTGGGCCGCAAGCTTGTGGGGTGGTATGGGTATGGTCTCTATGGCATTGCGTGTTGAGGCCCCACCCCGCCGCGGAGCATCCCCCGCAACAGCCGCAGCTGCCCTCTTGCCTTCCGCAAAACAACGGGGGTGGGGCCAGGCGCGCCATCTTACGCAGATGGGCGGGAGGCGAAAGAGCGGCGCGCCCTGCGGCGGCGCGTGCACGAGTACGGCGGGTTGCATGCAGCCGGGCGACCGCGGGCCACATGGGGGCGGCCCGGCGGCCCAGGCGACGGGACATTTGTTGCAGTGCAGCCTGCGGGCGGTTGCCCCATAATCACCCCAAGATTCCCTGTGATGCCCCCCTTCTAATTTGCGACTGATCTCCAGATCCGCCCCCACCCACTCACTCCTTGCAAGCTGGACTAATCATGTAACCAAACCCCAGCCCGGAGGGCGCGCCGGAGGGAGGCACGTCTAGTCGGGGCAAAAGGCGCGCCCCCTGCCAGATCATACTCCTGGACAACCCGCCAGGGGACCAGATGACCCCAGATCACTTCGACGCCGCGAGCCCTGCACACGTCGGCCCCGCAAACCCGGCGTCGCAGATGCACACGCCCGTGGCCAAGTTGCAGGCCCCGTTGCCGTTGCAGTCGTCCCTGCAGCGCTTCGGCGCCGCCGCCGCCGGCCGCTCGGCCGTGTCGCAGGCGGCCGCGCGGGCGCCGCAGACCGTGAACTTCCCGCCTGGGGAGAGGCCCATGATCTCGGGCTGCTTTTGAACGTAGGCCTTGACAGGTGGCAGCACAAACGTGCCGGGGGTCGCGGCGATGGCCTTGAACTTGATCGAGTGGGTTCCGGCCTGCGGGGCGGCGCGGTTGCGGCGCGGTGCGGCGTATTCAGCAAAGGGGGTGGGGCCCCGCGACCGAAAACAACTGAGTCCAGGACGTTGGCCGCCGCCATCTCTGCGGCTGACACTTGCGTCCAGCCGCCGCCGCCATGTCGTCACCAACACGCGCTTGCCGCAAGCGCTCGCGCGCATGCAGCGCGGCCGCGTGGGCGCCCTTTGGCCCCGACAACCCGTCCGCGCGCGCACCCTCAGCCCCCCGCTGCTCGTCCGCGCAAGCGCCCTCCGCGCGCCCCCCCCCCCTCGCCTGCATGAAGCTGTATCTGAAGGTCACCACTGCCGGCAGCGTCTCCTGCGCCGGGCACACCGGCCACGGCGGCCAAATCCTGTACGACCCAAACGGCCGCGCGGTCGCTTCCGCCAGCCGCCGCCGGCGCAGCGGCGCGGCCATGGGGCCGCGGGTCGCGAATTTCACGGCCTGCTGAGGTGGCGCGGAGTCGGGGGAGCTTCCCGCCAGGTCCTGCTCGTCCTGGGACTGGCCGCAGGTGGCGGCGGCGTCCTCTGGCGGGTATATGTTGGGGTCGAGGGGCTCGAGGCCGCCAGGCATCATGACCTCCACCACCACGTCTTGCATGTCATCGGGGGTTGTGACCTGGGGGGTTTCATGTTTTCATGGGGCAAGGCGGGGCGCATGAGGTTTTTTCCTTGCGCTGCTGGCTAACAGCGGAATGTGGGCCACGAGGGGGAGTGAGAGCGAGGGGCCGTTTCGCGAGCATGCCCGAGGGATGTCGCGGATTGCAGGTGCGCGCGTGTGCGTGCGTGAGGTGTGGTGGGAATGCAAGCATCGCTGCGCCGCCCTCCCAACCGCCAGCCCGAGGGTGGCTGGCCCGGCGGAGGCAGCGAAACAAGAGGCTGCATGCTGTCTGTTGAACCCAGACTGTCCAGTCTCCAGTGGCCGATGTGCACCGCGGTGGCGGCGAGGCGGTCTCCGCCCCCCCGCGCCCGCGTTGCACCCCCCACACCTGCACGGCCACCGTGACTGTCGCCGCCAGGGGCGCGGCCAGCACCGAGCCGCTGCCATTCCTCAGCTGCACCACCCGCTGCACCCACAGGCCCCTGTCGGGAGAGTGGAGCGAGGTTTGGTTCGTCTCCGCACTCCAGTGCCGCGGGTGCGGGGACGGGCCACGCCGTGTGCAGGCGCACAGAGCGCGCCTTTCAAAACACAGGACCACCAGCCGGCTGGGCAGGGACTGTTGCGACGGCGGACGCCACCAACCAGACTGATACTGCGCATTGCCATGCACCCAAAAAAACGCCTTCACCAACCGCACGTGGCGTCATAACCCCAGTCTCAAAGCAATCCACAAAAGATTGCGACAAACCAACAGACTGCAAAACTGACTTTATATCCAGTAAGCACATCACCGCGTGCCCCTCACGCACCTGTAAGTGGGGAACGCCAGAATCTCCGCCGGCACGAAATTGAGGGACGCGGCGACAGACACCTCCCCGCGGCCGCGCGACGTGAACACCAGGCGCGAGGCCTGGGGCACCTTTGACCAGGGCGTGGACGAGCGCTTGAGGGCGCCGGCGTTGACCGAGTCAAACTTGGCTGACAGCAGGACGGCCTGGGG